CCCAGGCAGGATGCCTGGGAGGAAGCAGGAGGGCAGTTGTGGCCGTTTGCCCACAGGAAATGGCTACCTGGGGTCTTAGTTCAACTTCAGGTTTCTTTTCACAGCAAGGAGAGATGAGGGAAAGGGCTTGTGCTGTGATGAAGTGACACCATGGAGGTGACAATGCAATTAGAGAGGAGACTGGCCAAAACAGAGAAAGGGATGTTCTGCCTTGTCTCACACTGCTCACCAAAGAGACCATTAGTCAGTGAAAAGAGGTAATATATCACATGGCTAAGCCAAACACAAGCTTAGAGTCCATAAATAAACCCCTTAGAAATAAAGAGCTGACATTTAATTTATTCTGCTTGGATCAAATTCTAGCTGCTTATTTTTAGCCTCTTCTCTGCCTTGGGGTGGAAGCGGTGCCCCCAGAGCAATGAGACCAGAGCCTGCAAGGAGACCAGCCAAGCTCTAGCTGTTCTGCTCAGGACGAGGCCCTCGGCATAGCCCTGATGAAGTAGGTGGGAGTAATTATCACGGGTGGGTTTGTGCAACCTCCCTTTCCTCCCACGGTGAACTTCAGCATGGGTTACGTTCACTGACAGAAGAAGACAAAGAAACTGGAATGACATCTATGTGGATTTTCAGGAGTTGCATATACTGATGGCCATTGCTGATATGAAGAACTTGCATTTCACTGTCTTTTCCTCATTTTCCTAGCCCCTTAGCTCAAATTCGCTTGCCTTACCCAACAGTATAGTCCATACAGCACACAAGAGCAGCGGTGTTTGAGGCAAAGTCCACTTCCTAAAGCTGCAATGTGGGAGGAAGTTTTGCAATTAGGATGCACCTGCAAGCACATTCTTGAGCTGCTGGTTTTTTTCACACACATTTTCGTTTCCAACATGAATGGCTGTTAGCAATGTGTGCTCTTAAGGTCCTTTTAAGAGGGGAAAGAAAGAAAGAATAATTCCAAAGAACAATAATAGTGGAAATGATTCAATAAAGGAAACATAATTTTCCTGTGCAAACATGTAGCTCTGAGAAGAACCCCCCTCACACACCCAACAATTATAAGGCAAATCCAGAACTGTTGCACTTTGCACGGCTGGAAGTTGCGTTTATTTTCTGAGCAAGCTCTGACTAACTCAGAGCATATCTGATGTGCTCCCAGAGGAGCCCCTGGCAGCTTTAGCTTTCATCCAAATAGCTTCATCCTTAGGGTCTGGGTGTTTGAACCCCCCTGCTCTGGACGGTTCACAAAAACAGCTTCTGAGGGAGAGAGGAGAAGCTGGGAGGGACGGAGGGGGCGGCAGGTTCTTGGCAGGGTCCAGGTTTGCTCGGCTGGGCGGCCGGCGCGTTCCTGGGCGAGCTCAGCTCTCGCTGCAGGGACACGTCAGCCTCCCGCATGGAAAATATCCCTCCCTCGTGCCGAGGCTTTCATTGCGATACCTATTTTGAGCCGCAGCCCTGTGCCACCCAGGAGAAGATTCCCCAGCCTTTGGTCTGAGCCTCAGGCAAGAGGTGCCATGCGGGGACCTTGTCATGCCAGCAGCTTGGGTTTTCTTTGGAAAACGGCCAGGGAACAGCTTGAGGAGCCCCTTTCCTCCTGGTTAAGCAGTGGTGGATCTTAGCAAGGCTGGACTGTTGCATAGACATCTGAATAAGCCTGGGAGAAGCTTCCTGGGAGAACAGCTTTGCAAAGAAGCTACACAAATAAAGGTCTGTTGTGAAAAATCAGCTGTCACGCCATCCCCCCAGCGTGTTCCCATGCACCTGCTGTGCTGCGTGTCATTACTTGGTGGTTTTAATTTGCCTCCTCGCAGGGTTATGCCATTGCTAACCACAGGGCTACACTATCGCCATTGCCAAGGGTAACAGCAGACGGAACCGCGGCGTTTGGTCACTGCAGATCGCTTCGGTGTGAAATCTCAGCCCGCAATGCAAACAACTGTGCTCGACCAGCCGGCACCGATTTGCTTTTCTGCTGTAACCGGAGCTGGGAGCAGCGCTGGTGCCCTGGCACTGCCCAAAACACCCCGAGAGAGCTGAATGCCACCAGGGCCAGGGGGGAAGAGC